GACCGTGTCAGTTTTTTGGCAAGTGATATATTTTTGAAAAATGTAACCCGTCTAGGGAATAATTTTGGTGTGTGGTTTTTCATATATGTAATTGTTTTTATTTTGTCCAGTGACCAAGGGTGAGCAACATCATCCGAAATATATGGACTTGTGAGTTAGATATTATTATCCCAGAGAATAATCCGAGAAGTGACTATACATAACTAATTTCCTGGGAAGAAAAGACTTTAAAACAACATATGTTCTTACTTTCTTTCGGTCTGAAGCCTTTGTCATGTTTTTTTTTAGCTTTATTAAGGTGTCTAAACCTGATTATAGATATTTTTATTGGCCGGTAGGTGTATCTACACCTGTGTACTCATAGATAGAGTTTTCACCCTTCAACGGAATTATAATACTTTGTTACAGTGGTACGATATCGATTTTGTCACGAACCGATGCACAGTGGGCGGATAGGCCATTCTAGCGCGACAGGGCCTGAATCTTCGAACGGAACCCTTGGTTTTTCGCGAGTAATTCGCGTAGAAAGCGGCCGATCGCAACGAAACTTTCAGTATCCTCGCGATAACTATTTTCACAGCTAACCTGAAAATTTCATGACCCTGACCTTAATGATCTTTGACCTGTGACCTTCTTTCGAGACCATGTTTGGCCGGAATCGCGATTCAGCGTATGTTGGTTCGCATTAGCCGCGAGTTTGCAGTCTTTTCGTGGTTTAAAGCGTTCAAACATGGGATATTATGTTGCTCCCATGCATTAGGATGGGTGTCAAGGTCACCGGAAGGTCAGGTAAGGTCATTGACCTTTGTTGACCTTGGTTCACTTTTTCGAGTTTTACATGTTTCTAGGCTAGTTTTTGGAACTGAATTCGAATCTAGAAACCATTTGAACATTTACTATGTAGCTTTGGTGCCTTCGTAACATGTTACGAAGCTGTCAGAGGCGGTTGCCACCTACTACAAATACCCGGCAAAACCCTTACTGGTTGACCTGACCTGATCCGACCTGGCCTAAATGTATGAAGACATCATCTTTGATCATAAATAACATAATATTCGTGATCAGCACAAAACAACCCATAGCAGCCACCCTTTATGACGTTCTAACAGGTCCCGATTTTCCCGACTTTTGGGTCATTGACCTGACCTGGAAGATCCACCGATGACCTAGGACCTTATAATTGGATATCATCAGCTTCCTCTTGTCACGGGCAACACGCTCGTCTTTTCCGCGAAGCTCTAGCTCGATCAGGGGCGAAAAGCAGGGGGTCTAACGGATCCCTTCTATACGTTCGCGGCTGGAAAAACACCACTAGGGGCGAGGGTTAAGCTAAATCTGAGGGCTTATTTCAGAAAGACCGCTAAAAGAGCAATTGAATGCACTTTTCCGCGACGATGTAGCTCTATTGGTCCCCGAGGTAAGGGGCCTGTTTTTCGAGAAATGTTGATATATGCAACATTTTACCTTTGATGAACTCTGGTGACGTGACCTTTGACCTGACCTAGAAATGACTAATTACCCTATCTGGAATTTTGGGCGCTTCTTCGAATGCCACTTACCTACTACGTGTCGCTATGTGGCACAGGAGCCGAGTTAGAAGGGGAGTGTTCAATCAACACCTCCCGTCCCGGCGCGTTTGACGCCGAGGACCGGTCCGGCGCGGGTTGATGTTTGGCTCTGCTACATCCAAAGTCGCAAAAAGTCGCAAGAAATGACTGTTGGATCTTGTAGTGCAATGACTCATTGACATGTAGCGAGATTTTCGAAGCGGTACTTTGCGGTACTTTTTTTTAAATCTTTTTGTGTGTGACATCAATTATGTGAAATTATATTTTCGTCTTGAAATCTTTGCGGTGCAAATACATCATAACCAAGTAAGAGTTCGCCATTTTCATGTGGTTATGTGTGTTTTGCAGACCCGGAGCTATCGTTTGATGTATATAAATGTGGAATTCCTCCTCAAGTTGTGATTGTTTTCGTGGATCAAAGATACGTTGTCGAAGAGTGCGGGGACAAGTTCGGTCCAAACGGTTCCGAAGTTCGTGTTTAAGCTGAGTTTTCTTCATGAAATAGCAATTGTGTTTGAAAACAAAGACCACAGCAATGTACATAGTATGATCATTTTTGAACAAATTGGTATAGGTTTCATTGCACATTCACAACGTTCGATTTTTTTGCCCATGTCGTGCTAGACCTGGCGATCCGCCCAGTGTGCGATGTACGTAATTTTGTAGAGGCAGTTGGAACGCGATGCGGCGAAACGAAGCTATGGTTTATCTTGATTATATATGTTCGACAAAGGCCAGTGGCCGAAATATCACATATTTTCTATCAATACAGTACATTTTTCGGCACTTTTTTGTTCAATATCGAGGAAAGGTCATGCTAATATATTTTCGATGGGAGAAAACTGAAATGCGCCGCTTTTGGACGGAAGCCATTATAAACACTCCCAAACACCGAATTACAAGTAACTTAGACACACTGAGCATGAAAATGGTGTCCGGGACCCCTGTTTATGACCCTGAGGTCATCTCAGGTCACGAATGGTATCTAACAGTTTTTTCGCAAATAACTTTTGATAGAGCCATTCTAGAGCGATGTGTACAGCTCGACGACACGGATCGCCTGATATGCAACATGACCATTTTCAGTCAAGTTCAAGTGAAGCGTCTTGACGAGAGGAACACGATGCCCTTAAAAGTAACATCGTGCAAGGCTTGGATCAAAAGTTACTGCAGAGAAAATGTTTTAAAAAATCGGCTGTTTTGGCAGCTTTTGCTTCCTGCAGGCAAAACCGTTGACGTTAGGTCAAATCTGAGAGAATTACTCAGAAAGGGCGTTAATAGGGCTATCGAATGCGCTTTTCTGCGACGCTGTAACTCTATTGGTTCCCGAGTTATGCGTTGGCTTCTTGAAAATTGTCGACATTCGACCTGAAAATTGGCGAAATTTTGCCTTCAATGACCTCTGGTGACATGAGCTTTGACCTAACAAAAAAGTGACCGAAGTGATTTCGTCATTATTTTGGCGCTCTTTCGAACGCCGCCTTCTGCGTATCACTTCGTGGCCCAGCAGCCGAGTTAGAAGGGGTGGGGTGGGGTTCCAACACCCCCACCCCCAGCAGGGCGTGGAAATCCAGGACCCCGGCCCCAGTGGGGGGCGGGTTAACCCTCGCCGGCCGAGGGGGGGGGGGCGGGTGCCGCCCGCCATAGGGTTTTTTTTTCGCGATAGCTCCGAACACGCTGGCGATAGAGAGCTAAAACTTGGCATACCTGACCTTTAATTCAAGCCGGATCTTTTGACTCCAACCGAAGTTTTAGGTCAGGTCAGGTCACTGACCTATGACGTCATAAGTGAACCTCTGCCCGGTCTTCGATGTCGCAACTTCGCAACGCCCTCACTGCCAGAGGAGATGTCACAGGGAAATGAAGCTTGCAGGATCTAGTATCCATTATGAGCCTCACAACTTGTATATCTCGGATTTTTCCTAAAGGTCATATGAGGCCAGGTCATTTTCGTGACCTCACCATTATAAGTCAATGGGGAAAAATAAAAACTGCTATTCTGGCGCCGGGAACGATCTCCAACTATCTCAAGCACACAGAATCGTGATTTGATGCACTCCTTGCAAGGTTAGATGCGTCACTTTTGCAATGTTGACCTTGCGTGACGTCATTTATGACGTCATCAAGGTCATATTAGTTTTTCGTCAACAACTCTTGATCAAATTGAGCTAGCGAGTCGGGAAAACCACCAATGGACTCAGGAAGACCTGGTGAATCGACTGATATGCAACATTACCTCCCTCGACCAATTCGTGACCTGGGGGCGCTGCCCTGTCTGTGACCCGAGGTCAACACCCTGAGTTGACCTCACCCAAACAAAAAGTATATCATTCGAACGTATACGGCGCACACGCTCGTTTTTCTGCAACGTGCTAGCCCCCCCCCCCCTTGGCCGGCGCGTAGTTATGTAGAAAGCCAATAGGTCCGGTGAGGGGTAAGCTAGCACCGGGCCCTCGGGCCAGCGGAGGCAGGGGTAGCCAGTAACAGTTGGTAGCATTAGGCCAAATGGGCGCTCAAAAACTACTGCCCCATAGGGTTTCCATGTTAAATCGACCTTTTTCAAGCGAGCCCCATACGTAAGCTAGAAGATAAAATGCCAATATTATGGTGGGGAAAGGTAGCCTCAAGCTTCCTCTACAACCTTTCTATCTAGCGTTTTTCGATGCGGAGGCCATAACAGGTCCAAAAAGCATTGGGCGCTGCCCGAGGTACCAAAAGCCCCTCCATGAGAGCACAAGATCCTGCTCATGCGCACATTGCCTCAACCCTGTACTAGCGTACATTAGTGATACTGCTCACGGACTCGATCAGCCAATCAGCATCACTGATTACATTCATAGATGTCGCCAGTATTACGTAAATCCTGCTTGCGAACACATTCTAAGAATGAAACAACTGCGCCATTTCCGCCTTCCATAGATTCCTTCCATCTTAGTATCAACTATACGCTTTTCAAGTAACTTTAGACTAAGTTTTAAACTACGGTTAGTATGTTATTTCTGGTACATATAATTTAAAAATAACTGCTTTATGAATTTGGCTTTACTCTTCAGAATGGAGTGCTCTATTTTTTCCATATTCAAAAAATATATCACCTACCACCTAACTCATCCAGGTAAAATGTGCGCTTTCCGCGTCGTTGGTGTACCCGTTGTTCTATATACCCTGAGCGGAGGGGCCCCTTTGTCAAGTTGCCCTCCCCCCCTCCCCAACGCCAAGTCTGCGACCGCCCCCGACAATTTTGGGGGATGTGGTGCAGCTGTTTTTATTCATTTTTACTTTTTGCTTAATTTTATTTTATTTTTCGCCTTCAGGGGAAGGGGCATGGCCCGCGTGCTACGTCCCTGCCCCCCCCCCCCCTGGCTACGTCCCTTGCCGGCCGCAGCAACAGGAGTCTCGTCTGACCGTGTGCCATTCGCCTCTCGTCCCCAGCATATGTATCGTGGTGATGATCTTTGTCAACTACGGCGGCGGCCAGTACTGGTTCTTCCGACACGCTCCCTGGAACGGCCTCACTGTTGCCGACCTGGTGTTCCCCTGGTGAGACTTAGCAGGCACTGCGCCCCACCGACTTCGTGAATTATTTTTGATTTTTATTCCAACATTATTGGAGAACAAGTGCAAAACAGAGACAACATGAAGTTATCCCACACACTCGCACTCATCACAAAAAAAACATGGAGCCGGCATTCATGCACATTGGCATAGGAACGGCTTGAACATTGTGGGCTCATGGGTGCAGAAATTCACTGCCATAGACGTTGGGGTGAGGGTAGGGAGCCCCACTGGGTAGGTATTATGTTCCCTCTCGACTTTGGTAGGTATGTATCGCGGCTCGCCACCGATATAGGAAAACGGTTTCAAGGGGAGGCTCGTTGTGAGCTTCAAGGGGGTGTTCCGAAATGTAGAATTATATTGAACATTCAGATAGGTACCTAAATTACCCCGCCCCCCAAAAAAATCAATTTTCTGTTCATCTCGTCACGGGCAACACGCTAATTTTTTCTAGCTCGATCAGAGGCCAAAGGGCAAGGAGGTCCAACGGACCCCCCCCCCTTCCTATACGTTCGCGGCTGGCAGAGCACCAGTACGGGCGAGGGTTAAACTTACAATATTCAAACACAACAGCTCGGTATACCTACTGAAAGCAGCATTGTTCCCGAGCTCAGACAGAGCTGCATGGCATACATGGCCGACCGAACCATAGCATATGTGTGTGCAGTCGATCCGCCTACGTGCTGTGCCCCTGCACAACGGGGCCCATGGGGAGAACCTGAACTGGAGCTGCTGTTATTACAGAGCTCGGCGTTTGGTTCCAAAGTACTGTCATGGTGCTATTATGCCATTTCATTGACAATGTATCAAGGTCACTTGTTTGGCTAGAAATGTGACGCTCTGTCCATTCTGTCCACGGGTTCATGTGGATCATATCCGACCTGTCCACAGGTTCATGTGGATCATATCCGGCCTGTCCGCGGGTTCATGTGGATCATATCCGGCATGTCCGCGGGTTCATGTGGATCATATCCGGCCTGTCCGCGGGTTCATTTGGATCATATCCTGCCTGTCCACAGGTTCATGTGGATAATGGGCGCCAGCATGGTGTTTTCTCTGCGCAGCCAGATCCGCCGCTCCGTACCAAAGTACGTGCAGGGTACAGACCCGACGGGACCGGGGGGGGGAGGTATGTACAGACCCGACGGGACCGGGGAGGGGGGTGGGTGCAGACCCGACGGGACCGGGGGGGGGGTGCAGACCCGACTGGACCGGGGGGATACAGACCGGTCGGGCTGGGACCTGGACGGGCACAGACGTCCAGACCCGACTGGACCGGGGGGGGGGGGGATACAGACCGGTCGGGCTGGGACCTGGACGGGCACAGACGTGTATCTGTGTGACGGCGCTGCCCTGGTGTGTGTGTGTGTGTGCGCGCGTGTGTGCGTGTGCGTGTGCGTGTCAGCCGTCTGCCGTACTCTGTACTGTGTGTGTGTGTGTGTGGCCGGCCAGGTGTCAGATCTGGGTGCGTGTGCGTGTCAGCCGTCTGCCGTACTCTGTACTGTGCGTGTGTAAGCACTCACTTGTCAGGGCCGATGACGGGATACACACCGACCCGACAGGACCGATTTCCCTGTCAGGACCGAAAACCCGGTCCTGACAATTCCAAGACCGGGGCCATGTTCCTTGGCCTCTAAACATGCCCTAGGGCCATTTTGAGGTCGGTCCTGTTAAGTCGGTGTTCTGTCAATATGTGTGTAAAATGTGTGTGAAAATCGGCCGCCGTATACACTCTTCTGTCCGGTGGCGCCCCCTAATGAAGGGTCGGGCGGCCCATTGAAGCTGTGGTCCCTCCCGCGACCTCCCGCAGAGTCCAATTTGTTCCGGGTAGGGTGGCCGGGCAGGGTCGGGCCGAGCCGGGCAGTAAAAGTAATTAGCTGAGGAGCGAGTGGATAGTAGCGCTGGGTGTGCTGCTCAAGTTTCGCTGTAGTGACCAGCGGCACGGGCCGATGCTATCAGTGTTGGTAAAGACGAAATAAGAATAGACTGATGATCGACCTTACCTGACGTCACCTGACTCACCCTACCCAAAATGCCCAAATAATATATCATGGAACAAAACGATTGTGAAACAATTATGACAAAACGATTGTGACAAATAACAGAAGCGGTTGCGTGGCGTTTGATGTGGGTAAAAAGCAGGGATGCGGAGCCGTGAAAATTTCAGACGGCTCCGGCTCCGGAGAAAAAAATCGGCTCCGGCTCCGGCTCCGGGTGAAATGCGATGGCGACTCCGGCTCCGGCTTCGGCTCCGAGTAAAATGGTCCGGCTCCGGCTGCTCCGGCTCCGGCTCCGGCTCCAATACTCAGTACATCCCCTATGCAATTAAATACGGGTGGAAGAAACAAGATGATGGGATTGGTGCGCGCTGCTTCTGTGTTTGCATAACAAGGCTATTTTCATATTTTGACTTCCGCATGTTTTACTGCCTTGAACTGTCAAACCGAACTACCGGGTGATCATTTTTGAATGATACAAAAACATTTGTTAATATCAGCCATGTGTTAAACTGGATAGTTAAACCAAACACACCCATCAAACACGTACGGTGGGACATTTTATCTGGAACACACAGTCAGTCATTAATGTCAATAGCCAGCTTAGAGGAGGTGCCGAAAGTATGCACCCCTCGCGGACCGCCGACCAGCTGAGCTCCGCTCGATGCCGGGTTTGTCTGACCATTTTCTGCTGATTATCGCCGTTCCATGCTCCGGGTAAAGTCTCCTTCTACCACTATTACATAGATGTGCAATTGACTTCGGCTCACATCTGACCACACCTGTCATTAGGTGAGGGCAGACACTCAAGTACAGTCACGAGAAGTCCGGGCTGTAAGACGGGCGGTCGTGCTCGCTTATTCGCAAGCTGCAGGCTTACCAGCTTTGGGGCACGGGAAATCAATGACAGGTGCGGATGTGTGTGGAGAATCACACTCTTGTTGAAAAGAGTGTCAGAGACGCGTGAATTAGTCATACAAAGCCGGCCAAACGACAGGTTACAGCATTCTCTAGAAAGCCGTACCGTCCCCGGGTCCGCCAAACCAGTGCACTCGAACGCACTTCCATCAACAATGTCCACTTCGGAATTTTTGTTATTCTTAGTGTCTCCGTGCACTCCAAGATCCTTTGCAGGTTCCAGGAAGCCCGTATAACCGTGCTATTGCCTTTGCACATGCGCCATGAACTAAAATTTGTTGTGTTGCAAAGCCATCCAGCTGAGATATTACATCGTTACACTAAGATGTCCAAAAAGGGTATGCTATAAAACGGATGATATTTACCGTACCTTAGGACGGACTTGGACAATGTTGATAAAAAACAAAATGTCCAAATGTCCCTCATGTAAACCAGCACGTGAAATCAAAATATTTTGTCCTATCTTTGCACGTGGCGACTTTCTTTTTGTATCATTCAAAAATGATCACCCGGTAGGTCAATAATTTTTCCTCTTCAAAAAAAGGAGCCGGAGTCGCCCCCTTTTTTTGACGGCTCCGGCTCCGGCTCCGGCTCCGGGCAAAATATGCCGGCTCCGGCGGCTCCGGCTCCAGCTCCGGCTCCGGCTCCGCACCCCTGGTAAAAAAGTATGAAAATAGTTTTGGTGACCTGAGGTCAGAGGTCAGGTCAACGACCCTGAGCTGAGGTTTTGGTGTTTCGCAAATAACTAACAAAAATGGTCCGAGAGCTACAGTGGTACTATCGCATTCGTCTTGTCAAGACGCGTCGAATGACATATATTTTGCATGGAAAAGTTCAAGTTTTATGTTGACCTCATGTGACCTCGAATGACCTTCTTTTTACCTAGACACATGAATGGTAGCTTATATATACGATTCGTAACCGCTGATCACGAATCTGGCATCCAGTTTGCTGTAAGCATTCATTTAGAGCCTTAACCCTATTCCTGGCGGGCTCCGCCGGGACAAGAAACTGGCGGGGGGGGGGGCCCTGAGATCTCGAGAACGAAGCAAGATAGCGACAAGCGGTAAACGGCATCGGATACGCATGGACAAGGTCTACAATTTTTACTAAGGTCATTTTCAGGTCAGGTCAAAGATGACGTCACAGGGGTCGAAAAAGTCAAAATGGCGGCGCTAGATATGGAGAAAGTTTTTCTCGAATAACTTTCGAATTAGTCAAGATAGGAACAAACTAAGGGCATCATCGTGATCCTCTCGTCAATCCGCATCGAATGATATATATGTTGACCTCGAAAGGTCAAGGTCAAAGGTTGACCTCAGGTCACGTGACCTCGAGGTCATCATGTATATCATTCGATGCGTCTTGACGAGCTGAACACAATGAGACCATCCACGCGTCTGTATCTTGTTCCTGTACGGAGTTATTGGCCAAAAACCTTTGGTGACCTTTGATGACGTCACATGACCTCACAGCTGCCCAACAGCAAAACAGACCTCAAGGTAGTGAAGGTTGATCGTATATGAAGTCATGTATGGTATATGGGGCCATTCCGACCCGTTTTAGTGGTAAAAACAGGGAGTTGATTTTTCCCCCATTGACTTATAATGGGGAGGTCGCGAAACTGACCTGACCTTAGGTCACCGATATCAAAATTCCGAGATATACAAATTGCACATACCGGTACCCTAACTAAAGCCTGAAGAGAAGAAATTGATCGGTCAAAAACTCTAGCTCTGGCGTGATTGCAAACTTTTCTGAGGTAGGGTCACCAAACCGCCTCTGGTGACCTGACCTGAGGTCAGATCAACTCAAAATTTTCAGACATGTTGCGTAGAAGCCTTTTAGGAAAAGTCAGAAAATTTGAGCTTCCTAGCTCAACGCGTTTGGGAGAAATAACCAAAAAACCTCAGGGGGGGGGGGCTCCTGAGGCCCCCCCCGCCAGGAATAGGGTTAAGATGGCAAGAATGTCTTCATCATTTGGCCGACTTGAATCAGTGAAAAAACTTTTAGCAAGGAAACTCTCCTGTGACCTTGACCTTGTAGCAGCCTTGTATCGTTGGATGAAACTGGGTCGCACCAGACCTTTGGCGGAATGGTAATGGGAACGAAGCACCACGCACTTGATCTTTAATTTCATGCGTCTTACTTGCTGGTAAATACCAGGATTGCGGACTGCGGAGTCTGAGTCCAAATCTGGTGGAAGTTCTGACCGGAGTTAGAGTCGAAATAAAATCGATTTTGGAATCCGGAGCCAGACTCGGGGTCGGAGTCACCAAAATTCATCGACTCCGCAGACCTGTCATGGCTGCGGAATCGGAGTCAGAGTCTATCGACAGTTCAGCCCGGAGTCGGAGTCGAAATTGATTTTTGGAAGCTTGAGTCGGAGTCGAAGTCAGAGTACCCGAAGATCAATCGACTGCCCGGCCCTGGTAAATACATCACCCGTCGTGACCTAGTTCCCCTCACTTTTTCTGCGAAATTACGTCGCTATGTGCCAGCAAGCATTTACAATGTATCGCAAAAGGTCTCATATAAGGATGTCAATTTTGGAACCAGGGAGCCATTTTCAGTGGATCTGAGCGGCGCTGGGATTAAATTCGCGCTAAATTGGTGCTCGGCCACACTGTGCAGCGGTTGCTGAGATATTAGCCTTTTAAACCGATGAAAATGACGTCACTCTGACGTCATTTCTGGCCAACCTATCATAGGCAATTGAACAATTTTCGAACACAATGTGTAAAAGGAATGTACGAGAGGGTAGTGAAAGTTTCGCGACGATCGGCGCAGCAGTTTTAATGATATTGCGAAAAGACTGGAGGGGACAAAAATAGCCCCCCCCCCAACAGGACGAGGGTTTAAAGTGTTACAGGCCGGGCCGGTCCGAGCCGGGCCGCTCCTACCGAGATTTGTCCGTAATATTGAAAAGACCGCTTCGCTCCCTCGCTCGCAACAAGTAGTATCTGATTCTGCTCACTATTATCATTCTTGCAATTGAAGGAGTTTCAGGTCATTGAAGGCACATGACGGAGTGCAAGCTACTAGCCTTGCCTCTGTTTTGTATTCCGACTTGTAGCCATGCAGTCTCTCGGTGCTTTTTGATCGTAGATCGGGGATGGATATGGCTAATCCTTTCCGGAATGCCGCGCTGGCGACGATCGGGTGGGAAAGGG